GAGCCATATGCATTCAATCCCTCCCTGCCCCACCATATTTTTAACTTATATCTAATTGGTTTTACATGAGTTTCTTTTCTTTTCTTTCTCCATCTGTCAATCTTCAAAATATACGTGGAGTGACAAGGTGAAAGCTTTGCTGGGAATCTCCTAGAGGACAATTTTATGATCTTCCTTCAATTTAAACAGCTGTGTCTCTATGCAGGGCAGAGAGACAGATCAGGCCAGTGATTTGGAAGAAAAACCATGTAACAGAATGAACAGCGTGTAGGACAAACAAAGATCTAAGTTCAGTTGGGGACAAAAAAGCAGAGAAACAGAGAGAAAAAGCAGTTCCCTTTCCACCCTTCACCTCTGGTAGCTTCATCTTGATTTCACTATTACCAATAAATCAATAAATTGATTTCCAGAGTTTAATAATGGTGCAAACCAAGTCACTTGTCGAAGGGCCAGGACAGCATTACTCCATCTCCCATAGCCACAGAAACAATTTTTTTTGTGTGTATAGTACTCTGGAATGACAAGACTTTCTCAATAATACTAAACCCATCAACCACTGTCTTTTGCGATCTAGGGTTTCTGATGAAAAATCAAATGAGGATCTAATGGGATAGTCGGGATGAAGCTTCTTCCTCCAAGGCCCGAGATGTTCCTCACAGATGCCCGGAGGTGCCTCAGAAACAGAGCATTACAGTATGACAGTGTCAGTGAGGGACCACATACTTTAAACCCATCGGTCTAAGTTTAAAGCAAAAGGAATTGAACACCGTGAGTTCGGAGAAGATGAGGTCTGTAAAAGCCAAGTCACAATGCCTTCAAGGAATTCTTCATAACTTCTCAACTAATAAAAGCCAGTGTCCATAACGTGGGGGAAGAACAAAGCTTCCTGTAAGCATTGCGGCTCTGATCTGGAGGTATCCTGGCAATCGGGAGCCAAGGAATACCACAAAGTCACTGTCAGCCTAACAGCTTACAGCTCTGCTCCTGGGAAAGGTTTCCCCAATGCATGTGTAACAACTCTGCTCTCACAGGGGAGGGGTTCCCCAGCGAAGTTGTTACAGCTCTGCCCTGTTCTGCTCCTGAGGAGTGTTACAGCTCTGTTCATGTCTCCTGGAGTATAACAACTCTGTTTGACTAGGGGAAAGTTTCCCCAGGGGAAGTGTTACAGTTCTGCTCCACTCCCGCTCAGGTGAAAGTTGTTACAGCTGGGCTCCATTCTGCTCAGGCAAAAGTGTCACACTGCACACCAAACCTCACTCAAGAGATTTATTGGGAAGGAAGTATCCAGGAGGGTGACTGCCTTTAGGGTTAGAAGAGCAGCAAACTAAACAGGGTACAGAGCTTCTGTGGAGCTTTTTTTCGGGGGGGGGGAGGATTTCCAGGGTGGTTTGGGATTGGTGGAATTTTGTGATATGGTTCTGGGGCAAGCTCAGGGATTGGTGGGATTTCAAGCCCTGGTCCTGGGGTCAAGTCAAGGTCAGGGTGTTTTTGTTGGCCCAGGTCTTAGGTCTTGGGTCTAGTCAGGGGTAGGGCATTTTCCCCTTGGCCCTATCCACTCTACACTTCCTAAGTCTATCATTATCTTTGTCATTGTTGACCATTAATGTTAAAAGGTCTTTTTCATGGGTTGAATGTGATATGTCCTGAGCTGTCTCATGTATTTGAACTCTTTGTCCTTTTAGGGAGCACTGTTTGAGAAGTTAGGGAACCCTTGGATGTGTAGCCTGGCTGGAGAGAGTGGGTCTTTAGGAGACCTGGGAGACTGTCATTGTAATGAAACCACTGCCTCACACCCTGCTGCCAGTGCCAGAAGCTGAGCCTTCCACCATGTTGTGCCTAATCCTCTGAAAGCCTGAGCTAAAATGATGTCTACCTCTCTTAAGTTGTTTTATGGCATAAATTTGGGAGAAGCCTTGAAACGAACTAGAGAATGATGATGGGGTTTGGTGAGCTGTGATTGGTCCATGGCTCTCATGACCTCACAAGCTGCCATTGTGAGGAGTGATAGTAGTCCAACCACATAAGGTACCAGCTGGACCTGGGTCTTGTCCAGACACTGCAGAGAGGATGTTGGTTGGTTGCAGGGCAGTTGGACTCAGACTTTGCTTTTGAGAAGATTTTATTTTTTATTGTCCATCTTAGGAAGTGATATCTGTGGTCCCCACTGACCTGAACATAATGAATTTGCTTTCTAGTGAATTGGTTTTTGTGCCTAGATTTCGATTTGGTTTATTGTCTTGGATTTAGTTTGTGCATTTGCTTTAGTTTTTTTTTTATCACCCATTTTTCTATTGTATCCATCCATTTATTTTGACATTTTGTACATTCGTTTATTTAAAGCTTTTATTAGTATACATTAGCTGTAAAAATTAAGGAATTCAATTATAACTTGCACTTGAATCATAACCACTGGCTCGTTACTTTCCCTGTGGTTATAAATTTCCCTATCATGTTGGGAGCCTTCCCTTGCCACCATGCCACTCAGGAGACAAAGCATCCTCTGGGGGACCTTGAGGGACATCCCATTTCCTCACCACATCCCTGTGTTATGAACAAGCTACCATCTTTTTGATGCCCATAAGTATGAGTTTAAGAAAAAGGAATTGACCATCATGACTGTAGAGATGAGGTCTGTGTAGTCAGAATCACTGGAGAATTTGAGGGTCTGAGTGAAAAGGATCTTGAAGAAGCCTGAGTGTTCACTGTCTAACCATGTCTCTAATCCAGGTCACCATAAAGCAGAGTCCATTCTTATTGTTACTCTTATTAAAAGTCAAAATGTCCTCCTTAAGCTTGGAATGTGAGAAGTTTCTCACCATCTCATGTCTCTGAATTCTTGGTCTCTAGCAGGGATTGCTGTTTGGGGAGGTTATGAAACCCCAGGGTGGTGAAACCCAACAGGAGGGACTGGGCTATTAGAGGCAATGAGACCTGCCAAAGTCATGTAAGCAGCTGCTTCAGCCCTGTGGGAGCCCGTTTTCAAGTTCCTCGAGGCTGTACCCAGCAAGTTCGCATAGAGGATGATTAGGACCACGGGCCTAAGTGCAGGTGTCTGAGATGGTCTGCACTTGGCTGTGCTGGGGGGAGGTCTTTTGCTCCAACCCTTGTTGTCTCTATAAATACCCTGGGGCAGAGACAGCCAGGGCCCGTTGGGATAGGTTCCAGGCCCTCGAGGCTATCCTTTATTTTCTATCTGTTTATCTCCCAATCTAAATCCTTCTATCTAATATTTCCTGCTGCTCGCACTCAAGAAAACTCTGGGGAACTGTGGGGTTGGTGGGTAAATGCCCACACAGCCCCATGTTCCCAAATACCCAGCCATGCCTTTGCTATCCATTGAGAGCCTGAGCCTAAGTAAAACCTATGTACTGTATGCTGCTGCTTCTCAGGGATTTGGTCATGGCCATGGGAAAAGTAATGGGGTGCTTGGACACAAAAAGTGAAAACATTCTTTCTTGGTTGTGAAGAGCTGTAATTGGTTCATTTCTTGCCATGACCTCATTGGAGCCATTGTGAGTAGTTGCAGAGACCCCACCCACCTATTTAAGGTACCGGCTGGGGCTGGGGCTTGGGCTTGTCCTCATGCTGTAGCTGTAGAGAAGCTGTTGCTTGGTTGGCTGAGGAGAGGTTGGACTCAGACATTGGTTTCTGTAGACTTTGATATTATTGACCTCTTGGAAACAGACATTGCTGATCTGATATGTGAAAAGTGAGTTTGTATCCTGGTTTGCTGGGTTTAATTTATATCTAATTGGTTTTTAATGAGTGTTTCTTTTCTTTCTTTTTTTGCACCCATAAATCTACTTCTTAAATAAGCATGATTCTTTGCCAGTTTTAAATTTAATTTTTCTGATTTTAAGTGCTTTGTTAGTATGAGTAAGAGGTAGAAAATAAGGAATTTCATCATGGTGTATACTTTGGATACACCCCTTGTACTATGATATTTACTAAGCTTTGTTGGGCTTAGAAATTCACCTATCCTGTTAACTATCTTCCAGACTTGCCATTGTAACAGGGCCCCAGACTTTAACACAATTGACTCCATGATGGAAGTACCACTCAGGCTGTAAACTCAGCACACAGACAACACCACCTGCCAAAATAAAACAAAGGCCTAATCCATCAAAGTCCATAGTTATGGGATGTTTCAAAATGTACTAACCTTGCTTTTTGGTTTCTATCCATTCCGCTTCTGGTTAACTGTTCTTGTCAGCTGAAGTATGTCAATCCAGAACATGGTTTTTGTGTTGAAAAGCTCACCCTGAGAAAGGTTAAAGGCTACAATGGGATCCCAAACCCCCAGTGTAGTTGCCAGCCAGCTAATAAAGATTTTCTATTGGCTTAACCCCATGTCCGAGCAGCCTTCCCTGGTGTACCCCACAGCACCATGCCCCATCCCTGAAAAAACAAAAACATGTCCACTGGACTCCAGCCTTGGTCCTGATAAACTTGGTCCTGATAAACTTGGGCTTTCCTAATCTCTTGGACCTTGACATTGGCAGTTTTCCTCTTTGTTGGTTTGGTTTTTGTGTTACTTTTCCTTTCAATTCATGCAATCAATGCTTTTGCTTGAAGTATTGATTTCTGCTTATGTATTCAGTTTTCTAAACTGGTCCTTTTCTCGACAATTTTTGCTTGCCATGTTTTGGAATCATATTCCTTATTTGAACCCTTAACTGTGCAAAGTAAAGAATTTCCCTGGGACACTTCTACACTTGTACACAGTGAACTTGGATCATTACCATCTGCTTGGTTACATGTCAGCAGCCCCTAGCATGTGCCTAAAAGTCCTTCCTTCTTATTAAGGTTCCAACTACACATCCACAGCTCTAGTTAAGCTCGCCTTATCTCCAGAACTGGCGTGTGACAGACAACCAACCCTAGGTCCATTTAATTTTTAGAAAATGACATATTTCATTCTCTGTGGCTGAACGTGGGCCTCTTCCCTTGACCTCCTTATATGGTTGTTGTTAACCACTTTTTGTGGGGTATTATGCTAGGATTCCATGATGAACCTACTGTGAATATGAAGTACCCATCTCCATCATATGTTGTTGAACTTTGTCTGAACTATGAGGTAATCTTATTACAGATGTACACTCGAATGTTCAAGGGTATTGAGGGGTGTGTGTGTGTGTGTGTGTGTGTGTGTGTGTGTGTGTGTGTGTGTGTTATGGTTCCAACATCAGGGTAATACTGGCTTTTTAGATTAAATTTAGAATAATCTTTCCTTGTCTCTTTGGTGAAGCAGTGTGGTGGTTTGAAAGAAAATGGCCCCCAAAGAGAGTGGTACTATCGGGAGGTATGGCTTTGTTGGAGTGAGTATATTACTTTTGAGGCAGGCTTTGAGGTTCCCTATGCTGAGGATACTGCCCAGTGTCTCCGTTGACTTCCTTTTCCCTGCAAGATATAGCACTCTCAGTTCCAACACCATGTCTGCCTGTACATTGCCATGCTCCCCATCATAATGATAATGGACTGAACCTCTGAAACTGTAAGCAAGATACCCCAATTAAATGTTTTCCTTTATAAGAGTTGTTGTGGTCATGGTGTCTCTTCACAGTAATAAAATGCCTAACTAAGACAGTAGTTGGTACCAGGAATGAGGTATTACTGTGATAGATCTGACCACGTGGTTATTTGGAAGAATTTGGACTTTAGTACTTTGGGTTTAGATAGCCATGGGATGCTTTAAGCACTGCTTAATGGGCCATACTAGTAGGAACATGGGAGACAGAGGTGCTGAGTGTGATTTGATAAACTGTGGGGGGCTGGCTCAAGAGGTTACAGAGGAGAAAAATTTTAGTATGTTGCCTAAAGATCATTCTTGTGCTGTTTTGGGGAAGAAAGTGGCTGCTTTTTGTCCTTGTCCAAAGGATCTGCCTGAGGATAAAGTGAAGAATTTCGGATTAATTCCATTGGCAGAAGAAATCTAAAAACAACCTAGTATTGTTGTTTGTATTGTTGAGTGGATATTAGTGGTCACTCTAATGAAGATTTATAATGAAAAGGATTGAAGGTGTGCCCTGCCACACCCTGCTCCAAGCTTTTCTTTAGTTTCTTTCCACAAGTAAGAAACTTAGCTGGGTGGGATCTTGCCCTGAAGTCACCAGACTCTTTATTTCATTTCTTAATCTGTTTATCTCCTTGAATACAGGATTTAGCTCCATTCCACTTCCTGGTGCTCTTCTCATCAAAATTCACACTTTGTAATTTCCTCTGATCAGCTTGCTTGAGATATCTACGCTTTTCCTAACATGGAAACCGCTCACCATGAACTTGTCTCCCAGACCTGCTCTTGCTTTTTTACTTCTACCACCTTGTGGTGGTTCCATTCCCCACCTTTAAGGTGGAGGACGTGGATTAGGAATTTCCATGCATGGACCTCTAAGAGTCAAGTTTACCACCAGCATGCAGAGTTCCAGGTGATCCATCTCCACCATTGTGGATGCCGTGTGTTCTTTGAGCCACATGCCAATAGAGACAGTGCTGACTTGAGGAACAAATAACTTAATGATGTCCTGGCCAAAAAAAAAAAATGATGTCTTCTATTGGAAAAAAAAGTGTTGATTACATCCTTGGGGGAATAGAGCATCTTCAAAAGATCCTTTCAATCAAGAGCCTGGAATGTCTCCTAACTCTCCCTCCCTTTCCCTTAAGCAAGAGATGGATTCAGTCTGCCCTGCCCACACTCATTGCATCTGAGGACAACAAAGAGCAGGAGATAAATAAGGAAAACAGTAACAAGGGCTTCTGTAGGTCCAGCTCACCTGGTTTAGACATCACACTGGATATCGGTTTGCTTTGCAATTCTTCCCCACAGGGGAACCTTGTGAATGCTTGCATCAACCATTCTGAGGAAACAGAGAATACTGTCTCATTTGGTGACACATCTGAGGACTTCCTGTCCTACCTGGAGGACACCACATCTGATTCCAGCTCAAAACTATGGGATGATAGTGTGGAGGCTGCGATGGAGGATGTATTGTGGTTCCTGGAGGATACCAACTGCAATGAGACCCCAGGACCGTAGGATGATGCTGAAATTACTGACCGCATCAACATTAGAGATGTGAGTGAAACTGACCTATAGTTCAGTGAGAGAACATGTAATATTATATATCATTGGAACCTCCCCAGGATGGGAACAGTGAATATGAAAATATCAAAGGCATAATCCTTGAGGATCCACCACCTACATCTGGCAAGGATCAGCCCCGGGAGGCACCCATAGCCTCCACCAATAACAGAAGAGGCTGGAAAGGGGTGAGGAGGCAGATTAACCTGTTTCAAAGCTCATGCTGTTGCCTCCCCACCCCAAAGAAAGGAGACATAACCTCAAGGGACAATGAGGCATGGAAAATGGAGTCCTAAGGGAAAATGAGTCGGAATGGCAACCAACATTCACTTGTGAATTTGACCTTTTCTTTCTCAAGTCCCTTTTCCACTGACAGGCTGCCCCCATTTATAGGACATGAACCATAAGATGTATGTGACCCTAGAAGGAGCTTTTCCACTGAATCTCACTCCTGTGAATTCTAGGGAAGTAGATCCAGAAGCAGAGGATGTGACCAGGGGCTAGGGATGGAGGAAGAAGGGAAAAGCATTTGGTGAAAGGGACCACAAGTTGGGAAGGGAACAATCAGAGCTATGGAGCAGCAGGGTAGCTCAGTGCTAAGTCCTGCCTATATCAAAGTCACTAACGGTGCCCTTTGCTTGTGTCTCCTCTCAAGGGCTGAAGAACAGGGCCCGGTCCATGGTTCTTAAACCATGGGTCTGTGTTTGGCCTTGTATGTCCCAACAGCTCCAGGAGGAAGCCAGGCCAGAAATTGAGGAGGCTGTGTGCCCCCAAACCTATTGTGGCCTGTCAGACTCCTCCAGCAACCAGGACATGGGCTCTTTACTCCTTCTTTCCCTGCAGAGTGTGAGCTATTAGATCCCCACTGCCTAAGTTTATAGTTCCCCCAGCACTATGGGGAGATGAGGGAGGGGAAGTGAGGAGAAGAGCAAGTGGGACATGTCAAGAGGGAAATGAGTAAGAGAAGGAGAAGGAAAGGTCATGAAGCTGGATGAAAGAGGAGGAAAGTCTGCCTGTGGTGGTTTGAATGTAATTGGCCCCCATAAACTCATGGGGAGTGACACATAGGAGGTGTGGCTTTGTTGGAATAGGTGTGGCCTTGTTGGAGGAAGGGTGTCATTGTAGGGATGGGCTTTGAGGTCTCCTATGCTCAAACTATACTCAGTGTAGACACAGACTCCTGCTGCCTGCAAATCAAGATGTAGAAGTCTCAACTCCTTCTCCAGCACCATGTCTGCCTGCACATTGCCATACTTCTCACTATGAAGATAATGGACTAAACCTCTGAAACTGTAAGCCACCCCCGTTAAATGTTTTCCTTTATAAGAGTTACTGTGGTTATGGTGTCTCTTCACAGCAACAGAAACCCTAAGGCACTGGCCATAGGAAATTCCAGTGACGGATCTGAGAAGAAAACCATAAGCATGCTGGGTGGGGACAGGGGCCATGGACAAGAAGCAGCAGTAGTATTCTTGCCCGTGAAGAGGGAAGCTTGGGGTATAGGGCATGGGTAGCCAGGAGGAGAAGAGTGTCTTCCTAGTAGATTACAGCTCATGCCAAGTTGCACTAGTTGGATGCTGTCCTGTCCAGGAAATCTGTTTCTGTCTTGGGGTGTTAAGGCAGAGTGTGACTGTAGAGAAGAGAAGCCACATCCTTCCCAGGAGCCTCTTTCTCTTTCTGGTTTATCCAGTCTTAAGCTGATCTGGTACCATGTTGATCTTTTATCTTCACAACCTCCTTTCTCCAGGCCCCGATGGTGCTGTTCTCCCATCCAAGGATTACAAAAACTGATAAAGATTTCATGTCCCAGTAGGGGATTCTGTCTTAGTTAGGGTTTCTATTTTGTAGCCTCAGTGGTCATGCAAGCCAGATGGGCAGTGTTTTTCCTCAACCTAAAACTCCTGCCAGACCCTCAGTAGGTTGGGTGGTAATATCCACACTGATAGTCATGCTGCAGTTCTGAGTCCAGTGTTTCCAGTGCTCTGATCACAGACACACCCAGGCATTCCACAATCAACACAAGGCTAGACACAAAAATTAAACACACTTATGGATCTAGGGTCATTCAGAGATTCACCAGTCTGACCATGAATAAATTTTAACGAATAAGAGGCTTTATTCAGATACTGGTGCCAGATACTCATGATGCCAGTACTGCACATTAGAGCTCTCTCAAGATGCTCCAAATTACATTAGTAAGGGGCTTATAAAGGCAAAATTCACAAGGCTGTGTACTTCCTGCCTGCCTGCAATCAGGAGCGAAATCACATAGTGACACACTTCCTGCCCATGTGCAATCAGGTACACATCCTACCTACATGTAGGAAAGCACACAACCTTCCTACGTGCTGTTAGGGGCAAACAAGCTTGTTTACAGAAGTGAAAACATGTGGTTTGTTATCTTGTGTAAACAAAATCAGGCAATTATAAGAAAACACCCAATATTTCTGGACGTTATCTGTCCTTGGGCAAGTGGGGCTTACAGGTTAGAGGCATTTTTATTTTATAGTTCTCTTTTTAAACTTTTAAACATAATGTTCATCATCACACTACAATATTCTACTTTTTTCTGGTAGTTTTTGTTTGTTTTCAGTATGTTTAGGAAATATGTGTTTCTTGATTTATATACCTTAGAAATAACCAATATTTTTAAGTTAAAGTAAACTACCTACCTTATGTATTTTCCCACTGTTTTTGTTTTTGTGTAAATATTAGAATCCTCACACATAACTTGAAACACTAAAATGAATAATAAATCTTAATACATACCCTGCTTGCTCTGACACTAAGAGTGTCTCTGTCTTTCATTGTCACTGAACTATTGAATAACTTTCTGAATTGCAGAAAGTTAAGAAGACCATCTCTACATGGAAATGACTGGTCACTGCCATACATTGATGCCCTTTTGTTTGTTTACGTAAGCATTTGTGTGTGTGTGTGTGTGTGTGTGTGTGTGTGTGTGTATGTGTGTGTGTGTGTGTATGTGTGTGTGTGTGTGTGTGTGTGTGTGTGTGTGTGTGTGTGTGTGTGAAGACAGAGAGAGAGAGATTCCAGTTGTATATGCGTATGTGTATATGAATGAGAGTATATGTATGTTTGTATGTATGTGTATGAGTAGGGCTCATACATACTAACTGGTGCATTCCCATCACCATCACAGGATCATGTGATGAGGCTTTTAGCTTCATTTTCTTTCCTAAGAACTTTTTTTGCAGTTTCTGGTGAGAGAGCTTGGTGGTAAGACCACTTACTACTGTAGCTAGAGTTTTCCTGCCTGGCCCACAGTCAGGACAAATCTCTCTCACCTGCCAGTCCCACAGCCGCTCAGACCCGACCAAGTAAACACAGAGACTTATATTGGTTACAAACTGTATGGCCATGGCAGGCTTCTTGCTAACTGTTCTTACAGCTTAAATTAATCCATTTCTATAAATCTATACCTTGTCACGTGGCTCATGGCTTACCGGCATCTTCACATGCTGTTTGTCATCAGGGTGACTGGCAGTGTCTCTCTGACTCAGCCTTCTACTTCCCAACTTTATTCTCCTCCTTGTCCTGCCTATACTTCCTGCCTAGCCACTGGCCAATCAGTGACTTATTTACTGACCAATCAGCAACACACTTGACAAACAGACCATCCCACAGCACTTCCCCTTTTCTTTTTTTTTTTCCAAAAGGAAGGTTTTAACCTTAACAAAGTAAAATTACATATAATTTGGGAATTTGGGCGTAGCTTCTATTACTACTACCTGCTGGAGGGGGGCGCTGTATCTTATGGGGACACAAAGAAAATTTTAGGATTATGGAATAGTCCATGAGGGTGTATCATCTGAGCCAGTTGCCTTCAAACCGTCCTGGATGTTGAATCATCTGGGCCATGGTGTCATCAGAGACCTTTCAGGGGGTCTTGGCTGGTCAAACCTGATGTATCTTAATCTGGAACAAATCCATAGCCTTTGGCTTTCTGTGGGAACAAAAGCAGAGTCTCCTTTCCAAAGCAACATATCCTTATATCTAAATTTTGAAGTCAAGGTACCTTTAAAATATACATTTTGGCATAACTCAACATCTTTTACAATCAAATTTTTTTGTGCAGTTAAAAGTCCCAAAGACAACACAATCCAGATTCTCTGTGTAATATTCATCTTTATGTGGCTTATTTTTTATGTTAATTTTACTGTCTCTTTAAAGACTTTATATTTTAAAACTATGTATTTGTTTATATAACTCTATATATCACCTTTTTTGCCTCTTTCAAGCCTACATATATTTTACACACACTGTAAACTATTACATCTGAATCTGTCTTATTGTGAATCTATTGCTTTAAGCTGCAGCAGCTGTGGCTGCTGGCTCCGCCCACCTCAGCTTCCTAACATGGCAGTGGTAGTTTACCGCCAGCTCTGGGAGCCATCTTCAGTCTATGCTTTTATCCAAGCAGCATGTAGCCCAAAAACCTCTTTTTTTGTTTTGCACTAGCAAAGGCTAAATCTACCACACAGCTTAATGTGCCACTTGCAGAGGCCTCATTCCCACCATACATCAGGTCGAGCGTGCACGCTAGGAACACGCCAGTAGCTCAAACCGGCAGCTGCCGCTCATTTGAGAGAGACAATTAGAAAGCTGTTTTTCGCTCCGTTTTAGAATCTTTTCTCAGGTTTTAGGTGGAAACTCTTGCCAACACGTTGGGTGCCATTTGTAGCTAGAGTTTTCCTGCCTGGCCCACAGTCAGGACAAATCTCTCTCACCTGCCAGTCCCACAGCTGCTCAGACCCGACCAAGTAAACACAGAGACTTATATTGGTTACAAACTGTATGGCCATGGCAGGCTTCTTGCTAACTGTTCTTACAGCTTAAATTAATCCATTTCTATAAATCTATACCTTGTCACGTGGCTCATGGCTTACCGGCATCTTCACATGCTGTTTCTCATCATGGCAGCTGGCAGTGTCTCT